GAAGTTTGCTCTCCTCTCACATCTTGCAGCCTCTGTAGGTATTACTACACAAACCTTTCTTCTCTCCATTGCCCCAGTCTGCCCCTGTCTAGCTCTCCCCTGTGAAGCAGGACTGATTTCCAAAGGTATATTTTATGTCAGCTTTCAGGAGCTCTTGCATGGTGGACACGTATGTGTATGCAAAAGGGGCCAATTTGTGCCTGCTGCTAACCTGACATGCAGGATTTCATATTTCAAGCCAAGGAATCAGAATTTGGGCTTCTGGTCCCAGCTGGGGCAGAGAGTTGTCTCATGGCTTTTGGCAAGCAAACTTCCCTCCCTTCTGCCTCAGTTTCCCACATGGATGTGGTGAGTTATACTTCTCTCCATCACAGGCATGTTGTGGAGATGTATTACTAATGTTCATGGGGCAGCTTGAGATCATGGTAGGTGCTACAGAAGTGCTAAGCACGCAATCGTTTATTTGTTCCTTCATCTGACAATGCCAGAACACAGTTCCACTTTGATAAATTGAAGGGCAACGAGTTTAAAAAAGCGAAACAGAGACTCTCTCTTTCATGAACATACAGCACTACGTGGAATCCATGCCTGCATGCTGTGCTAGAAAGAAATCATGTGGCTAGATTTTTAAAGGACAGTTTAAACTTTACAGCCATCACTCATGTCTGTGGCTTGCCAAGCTAAAAATATCCCAATAAGGTTATTTTGACCTTTGGAGCCACAGTGCCAGCTGCAGGTAGCAGGAAAAAATCTTCCTGAACTATATAAAAGCTGCATTTTACGGGGGATGAGCGTTACAGTTTTAAACGTTGTGTCCTTCCATGGCAGAAAGGGCAATACTGGGTTAGATGGACTTGCTGGGATGAAGTCAGAGGGGACCGATGTCTTTGTGTAAATTCCAAGTTTGCAAGATGATGACATGGCAAAGTGAACCTGAGTTGGCAGTAACCTGCACCATAGGGGAAGGGCTGGTGTGGGGAGGGAGTGGAGCTGAGGGTGGGTGACCAAGGCACCAGCCCTCGGCACTGATTTTGAGGGGCCAAATGAATGGTGGTGGCTGCTGCCACCACCCAGGGCACAGAAATTGCTTGTTAGGTCTCTGGGAAGTAGGTGGCAAAACAATCAGCAAGAAGATTGAAAAGAAAGATTGTGCGTGGCTTGCTTAACACTTCCTGCCCCTTGGGCAAAGCCCTTCAGTCTTCTTACGCTTGCATCTGAGAGGGGCGTTTTTTCTGCTACCGCCTTGGCAAGTAGATCACAATCACAATGATTTATGCCCGCTCACACCACCGTCTCCAGGCCTCCTGTCTGCCCTGCCATTATGTTTCCATACAGCTGCGAATTCCCTTGCTCCATTTGGATTTGCTGCTCCAATTATCCGCCAATCAGAGCACCCAGACACTTTACAACTCAGATTTTTAGAGGATCATCTCCCCATAATCACAAGCCCTGACCCGAAATTTGGCACTATCCCTGCAGAGCTAGTTTTATGCACTGTGGCAGTGGATAAAGAGCCTCTATAATTTATGATCAAGAGTCTCACTTTTATGAGGCCTTGCTACCTTTGATTTAAAGGGTAAGATCTATTCCAGCAGGATGGGTCTTTAAATATACACAAACTGCCTGCTGTTTATTTGTCATCTATAGGCTAAACAGTATTTAGGGTTGCAAAATGTAAGGGCATAGATAGAAAGGGGGTGATTACCTGCTGTGGCAATCTAGCTGTCAGTTACCTACACAAGGGGAGTGAAAGAGTGAATCCGTATACAGCAGAACTGAACCTTGGCTGGGTAAATCCTAATCTGAATGTGACCTGTGAGGTCTCCAGCTAAAATTATGGATGCCTTCACATTTGATTCTTTGGGAGCTGCACGAGGCTCCTTTGCAATGTAAAGCTGCAAAAGATTTATGCTGTCTCCTCCCTGTTTCATTGGAGTAGGTAAGATACTAGTCCATACGGAAGTTCATGGGAGAGGAAAAGTAGTGCAGCTTTCCAGCTATGGCTAAGCAGTGCCCTTTTCATTTCTCCATCCTGAGATACTTTGGTACTCAGGGAGCCAATAATTATCAGAAAAATCTGATGCTGCTAGAGCAAGCCTTACCTGCATGTTATGGTGAAGGGATCTCCTGCTTTGATTACAATCTGATCTTTGTCAATGCTTAACTTTGGTCCCCATACAGTTGGTTTCTCAGCAAGACCTGGGCCAAAACAAAGGAGAAAATGTGCATTCAGGCAGGATACTCATTTACATCAGACACAGCTAGATTCAAGGCAGGTTTTCCATAGCTTGTACTGCTGGGAGTACATTTCTATCTCATTTATATGATGTGATGCTGCTGAAGCCTGGGGTTACATGGTGTTAAGTGACAGCAGATTTTGGCCCTTTAGATTTGTTTTTCTGTCTGCAAATCACATTTTTCCCTGTTGATTTTCTCTCTATTCCTGTTTCATTTGAAGCTGGTTTCCCCTATGGATACTGTAGGTTGAGGATACAGTAAATCCATTCATTTCACAGGGCTTACACTAGCAGAAAAGTGGGGTGAATCAGATCTCCAGCAAATAATCCAAATTGACAGGTAAGATACAGCTTGTGAAATGTGCATTTTCCTTTCATGAAGTAAAGAAACAAGAAAACTTCTAAGGAGCACCTTTCTTTCCTTCACAAGTCTGAAATATACACTATATATAACCGCCCCCCAGCTGTACTCCAGAGCAATAGGTACAAACACTGCCATACATTACTAGCAAGCTGTTTTGTTGGGGACTCTCTAATTGCATGCTGTAATAATGTTTCACAAGGAAAATTTGCAGCTGTGTTTTGCGCTCCCTTACCACTGTCACTCTGTGACATGGTTTAGTAGGCGGAGGTTTTTCCACAGAAGAGCTGTCATCCTCAGACAAATTTCCTATGACTCTAATACCACAAGAGAGAGACGATGCTAACATGCTGTGTTTTGCTCTCTCAGTAAATCACTTGATTAATAAGCATCACTTAGCCCTTTTCACCTGTTGATCTCAAAGCATTTTACATGGGATTGCTGAATGCTGTCACCCCTCTCTTAGGGATGGAAAAGAGATGTGCTCACAGGCATACAGTGGCCATTGACAAGAGCACAGAGACCAGTCCACAGAAGAGAGATGTGCTCAAAGGCACACGGAGATCAGTCCACTCTTGCTGACTCCTAGTACGGAGCTCTGTTCAGGGAGAGTCACTGCTTCTCCCTTTCCGACAACACTGAATCTTGCTTTAAAAATGATTCTGTCAACTGGTTTCAGGATCCTAAGTTTAATTTTGTGTTGTTTTTTTTTAGTGTTTGACAAAACTGCTTTGCTGGAAACGGTCTCCATGGTGAATGAAAAAAAATACATTTCTAAAAAATGTATGTCTCACCCCATTATGCGGTGAAGCCAAACACAGCAGCAGAAAGTGAAAGTGACAAGAAACAAAAGTGAAACTGGCCAGACCACTTGTCCTGTCCAAACAGCGTAATCAGTGAAACCACAAATATACTTAGATACGTTTCTCACTTTCCAGGGCTAGGACATTAAAGTCTTAGGTTTTCTTTCCCTTCATGCACTTCAAATCTTTATCTTCCCCCTCACATTGAACTCGATAAGTCAGAAAGCCTTAGCTGGGCTTATAACAAAGGCATTTTACTCAGCAGAATAGCAATGATAACATATCTAACTAAAGAAAAATATGCATTAGGGTTTAACTTTTCAACTGGATGGAAAAGTGATTTGCTTCCACCCCACGCCCCTCCTTTTCCTTTTACAAGATACATGCAAAATGTTCTCAGCGCTGCATGTTCTCTCTGCAAAAGGAGTGAACTGAATCACTCCCACTTAGAACAATCTGTGTGCCTATGTGAGCCATTCAGATTCCCTTCACAAACCCAGCAGACACCAGCTAATCACTGGTGGGAGCTCTGGCTTTCTAAACGGGGCTCCACTTAAAAGTGCTTTGCTAGAAATCCTCAGAAGGTGGCACTGATATTTCCTGGCCTGAAATCTCTCTTGTTCAGACAAGATCCTAAGCCTGTCTTAGCCACTTTTAGCTGTTGCTAGAGATGCCCTGGAACTTTTTGTACAACTATAGATATTTTATCAGTGTCAGTCAAATTTTGTATCGGGCCAACATCAGATGTGCTCTCCGGTTTCAAGTGTGGTAATTTTCCCCACTCTTTCTCTAAAAATTGTTACTGTATGTAGTGTGACAAGGCCAGAATAAACTGCTGTGTGCCACTCCAGAGGTGGCTGCATTTTAAAAGCAAAGAAAGAGAGGTAGTTAGCTGCGTCAGTCTCAAATCAGGCAGAAGGCAGGGTAGAGATGCAAGTGATTCCTGAACAGTAATGGGCTGTGCATTAACACATTTAGTAAGGACTGGGGGGGGGGAAAACAGAAGACCCAGCACTTTTAACTAAGGACACAAGCATTCAGCTCAGTCTTCTGCAAATAGCTCACACTGAGCATGCCCTGACATTTAATGCAGAAGCCCAGAACAACATAGCCTTCATATGCAACTGGCTACTGAGCGTTTGAGCTGTTTCAGTTCCTCTAAGACAGCACATTTATCGTGGCAATAACAACCTGTAAATAGCCAATAGCACTGGAAACACTTCTTGGTGTCATTTCGTTAGCCATCTGCAGTTTATTTCAGTCCTGTTGTGTACATGGCTGGCTTTTTCTTAAGAAATAACCACTAACATGACTCATTCCTAGCTGTTTATGTTCTGGCTTCAACCAGGTGCTGCTTGGACTTGAGACCTTGACTCTACTGGGGTCTGTAATAGCCCTGCACTTGGTGCCTGCAGTGCTTATATGGGGTTTCAGGGGTGCATTATTCTGGCTTGGCACATGGGGCAGCATCGTCCCACCAGATCGGTAGCATAATATGGAGGAGCTGGCACTGGCTGGTTAGATCTGAGTGACTGTTGTAACAGGAGAGCAAAAGGAGTCCTTTGGCTTTTATATTTGAAAGTGTTTTTGTAGACGGGCTGGGGGCAGTGTTTTTCAGTCCCGGTGTTTATATTTCTGAGCTACTTCTTTTACCGAGTTTGCTTTGGCCTCAGGAAACTGAATAAAAAGAACAAACACTGTGTAAATTCAATGCTTTTCTGCCCCATGCGGGGTTGGGGGCAGGAATCCCTACCACACACACGCTTCATGGCTGCAGCCAGGTGATGGGGGGTATTATAAACACAGCGTGTGTCCTCGTCTGTGTGCCAGAGTTATAACAGACAGGACAGGAGGAGAAACTGAGAGTGAAATGGAGAGATGGGGGCAGGGAGCCAGGGGGGAAAAGGAGGCCGCTCTGATTTCCGATCGCCAGGTACCAATCACCTGATGGGGGGACATTAGATGCCTCCCAGGGCCCCACCAGGGCCTGACTTTGCTCACGTGCCAGATCACTGTGCCGTTGGCCCTGAGATTGTTTTTCTTAGAGGTGAGGTCAAGGGCTGCCCCAGGATGTGATGGGAAACAAGAAAGGGAGTTACCCTATTTTCATGTTTGTTTTATTTGTTGGAGGCAGCTCAGGGGGCTGAGAAGTCCGTGTTATTCTGAAAGCAACTTCCCGCAGAGAGTGGCAGGCCAATAAGCTAAATCATCCTTAACAAAACATGCCATCCTCCTCCACAGATCCTGCATCCCAGCATTTCCTCACGGCTGGGTTTTGCCACTCGTATTCAGGCTGAACGACTCTGTCAGTGGTTCTGCCCATGGAAGTAAGGCACCACAGAGCTTGGACTCATAGGAAATCATAAAACAGGCTAGGAAGGGATTCAGAAGGTCAGGTGGTCCAACCCCCTGCTCAAGGAAGGGGAGTATCCTGCCCCCTTGAGCAAACTTGAGGCAAACTAGGAGAATAGACCCCTTTTGGGGCTGATGTAGACTTAGCATGATTAAATCTAATGTTCTCCTGCATTCAGGCAAGTTCCTTGGTGTTTGTGGCTTGACCAGTACATCTCTTGGCACTAAGCAAGACCATTAATACTGCCATGCACCTCCATTCACATGAGGCCAACAGATAAGACCCTGGCAGACGCTTGAGAGGCTCTGTTGTGCCTCCCCAGTGGAGGCTCTGATTTCAAAATCTGATCTGCTCTGGGCAGACCAAGGCGCCCTGATGAAGTCAATGGGCTCCACCCGCCCAGCTTTGGTGGCAGACTTTGGGCCCAGAACAACATTCTCCTCTCCCCCAGTAAACAGTTCTCATCCTGCTTCTCAGGCTATGAGGGTCATAAAATTGAAAACAAGTGCTGGTGCCAACCACCTCATTACCATAGCAAACCTACAGCGCTGGGTAAGCAGGAAAGCAATCTCCTCTCTGCAAAACGATACATAAAGGCAACATGAAACTGGCATCTGTGTTGGCGGCTGGCTACGTGTGCCATTTTCTCTTCCTTACATTAATGGTAAGGACGTGGCGCTGAGAGGAATTTCTGGGAAGCTGTGGGTGGCTGGGGTCCATGCTTTCCTGACTCAGGATCACGCTCCTGGGGCCCAGAGTGCTCCTGCAATGGGTCTACGAGAGGAGTAAGGAAGCACATGGCTGCAGAAGTAGTGCGCCCCTGTGGCCTTCTGAATGATTAGAGTCAGATCTGTGCACAACATCTGCTTTGGGCAACTGTGTCCACACTCAAAGTTCAGAGGGTTTTTTCAATCAGAAAATGGCATTATTTGTATGAGAGGAACATGAAGGTAAGATCAAAGGCTCCAGTGAACTCAAACAAGAGTCACTAAGGGCTGTAAAGGCTTTGCCCAAGGTCGCACGGCCGGTCAGTGACAAAGGCAGGAATAAAATTATGTCTCCCTTGATTCTGTATCCATTTCTCTGACTACTGGGCCTTGCTGGGTACAAGAGCTTAAAATTCATAAATTGCTCCCTCCTCCCCACCCTGCTTCCTTTGCGATGTAGCAAACCCAATCATGATAATGCCTGGGGACCAAGCTGAGAGTATTGCAAGGGCTGATTCGGGAATTATAATGTTGGGGAGAAGGGGAGGTGTAGGTTTACAACTCTTTCACTTGTAATAATCCCTAGCATCATTTGCAGCACTGATAGAACCAATTTTCTATCTATAGACTTTACCATGACAACCTCCCTTTAAGCATCCTCCACGTGGTGTAACTACAGTGATTCCCTGAAAGGAAAACCCAACGTGCCTGGCGAGACAGAATACGCGTATTTGTTGC